GAAATAATTATTATTAGATAATTTTCTGTTAGTAGAATTGTTGTTCTAAAAAATCGCGCAGATGAATTTGTGGATACATTGGCGTTGCGAAATTCACTTATTCATTAACCATCATATGCTTACCAGCAAATGAATTTGAATCATTAGGATTAGACATGCATTAGACTGCATGCGCTTTAAATAAATTTTATCAGGCAGTTCATTTGCACGTTCTTCTGCATGTACAATTCAGTGAAAGCACTTTATGTCAGTAAACTTGACGACCTCTAATTAGGCATACCTATCCTATACTGCATGTTCACATTAGCTGATACACAGCGTCTTACTTGGGTTACCTATAGATAAGCCTCCGTAGTTGTTTAGTGAATAAACTGTGCTTTTGCAACATTGAATTCACGCTATTATGTATGTATCAGAAATAACGAATTTAATGTGCTAATAAGTAGTATCATTTAACCGAGTGACTTGAGTCAGGGCTTACAAATCCTCGAAACAAACACATTTGTAAATGAATGCACAATCGACAATTGAATCAAGTGTCCGACAATGTGTTCAGTGATTACCGGGTGCACAAACTAGTAAATGGAAGATTCATCACTGTTACAATCATCAAATTTGCAACAACAGCATTTGTTGTATTTCTTTATTTTCTACCTTCAACATTTGCCGCACTCACCTCCAATCCGGCGCCGGCAGTTGCCGCATGTGCAGGAGGGTACTTGTGCTACTCGATAGCAGACAAATACCTCTTTGTAAATCACCAAAGACGACAAGTCCTTGATACGGATGTCTTTCTAGAGGCGGTTGTGGGCAAGCAAGCTAGTACCATGTGTGTGCGTAAATTGGTAGCTAGCTGACTGTCAGGTACTGCCGCAAGCACTTAGTAGTTTCACCTACTAACCTCAGCCTTACAGTATCGGTTGTATCGGTGCTGCGTTTGCAAAGCCATCCTGTGTGATTGGTAAAGCGAGTGTCAGGGGAATGTGCAAATTTTCACCACTCAGAACTGAATTGTGCTGCAAACATTTTAGCATGCAATCTACTCCTACTCCCAAGATTATCATTCTTCATATGGCATTCATGATCTCCACTTAGAGATTCATGGTATTTTAAGCTTTGTCCATAAAAGGGTTTGCGGAAGGGTATAACCATGTTGCATCGGCCTACCGTAGGATGTCTAGGCTCTACCTAGCATTACAAACTGCTGAAAATCAAGAAGGGCTAGAAGAGACACTCAGGGATTAGAGAGTGATTGTGCACCTTGTCACTACTGCAATTATTTGAGCCAAAAATCCCCCTATCCATATGCATACACTTCGGACAGGCAGAACTCATGTTAGACAATGGGAAACCTGGTTTGGAGGTGGAATAACCGTCTGCAAAACCACGACATCACGTCTGTTGTATCTGTCTGTTACGAAACAGTGCTGACAAATTGACTTGAATCACTTTGCACACGGATACACCCAAATATGTGACGGCACTGCTGCGTTTGGGTTCAAATGATTACTGGCATGACAACGTGCATAAACTGTGCCCACTCTCTGACGGTCTTGTCAAGCCTCGCTTGATTCTCAGCAATTAGTCTTGTACGTCGATATAAAATAACGATTCTTAATTGCACTATATGCTTCACGAAGACGAATTTGGCCGCATGGTTTTAGGAAATAATCCGTCACGAAGCACCATGTAGTAGATGCATCGTCTGCCCTTTTTTCTGTGCAGCCAGTGAACAATGAAAATTCATTACATGTGACGTACTCACTAACCTGAACAACAAATTCAATAGCGTGAAATTCAACTCCTGAAATATGCTAGCGGTCTGACATACAATCGAGTTTAATAAAGCAAAATGCATCAGATTATATGTAAGTATGCGCGTGCTTTGCGGATTGCTTTTACATAAAACACGGAAAGACAGGGTGAATCAATTTGCGTAGATGATTTGCTCAAACCCAGTCATTAGTCTGCTCCCTACGCCAGGCCATTATACGTTCATTTGGGTGAATCTCACTGGTCAATGCCAGTGGCGGTGGCGTGTGTCGACATGTCCATCAAGGGTGTTTGGGAACTGGCAATTTGTAGTAAGCAATCAGACACTCGATCAAATCAACCGAGATCCCTACATGTTCAAAGACGTACTATATAGCGTCTGACAATATACATGGAAATGTGACAGGTATCTGAAGTATGTAGTTAGGTTAATCGTGTTCTATCTCCATTCGGCAAAAGGTGCGGCGACGCTGTTATTTTGACATGTCCAAATTGCATAGTCTAAATTTTCGGTATAAGGACGGTCATAGTGCATAAGCAACTACCCAATTATCCCCTAGAATATTCTCATTTTTTGCTTAAATTTTGCCAGAAGGAGAGGGAGATGAACATCATCAATTGAAATGTTGCGAATTCGATACCACTTCAAGCAAATAACAACAGGTAAGTTTTTACTTAAACTTCAATAAGTTCATCTATCTCTTACCACTAAGGCTCTGATGCAGTATTTCTTACTTATGCCAGATTTAACAAAATTTTTACCTAAAAATGCAAAGCAGTCGAAGCAAGTGTTACACCACCAGTAATCATTGGGTCTCGACAGTCAATCGCTGCGAATTTTATTGCAACTACTGCGTGATGAACTTAACCCTTTCTTTTTAAATGACAGTTGGATTTGCACTCCCCTGCAACACTCATTTTTAAAACAGATGTGCTCACACCTAACGGTATCATTACCATCTCAATATTTTCTTAACTTTTCAAACAATAAAGTGCAGTCAGTTCTCAAATAGACTGCTCTAAAATTGACGTTGATCTGCCTGTCAGAGGTCCTTATATCAAGGAAGAGAGAAATATATGCTAGTGACAAGATCCTTACAACTTGACTGCCATGTTGCAGTTATTAAGGGACGATTGATGGCGCTACATTCTCGCCTAAAATTCATTTAAGCATAGCCGTATGATTGTTGACAATGAAGATATAAGGCAATCGCTATTTAGTGAGATGTCATCTTTTAATTTTATGGCCTTAACTTGCAATTAATTGCAGAAATACACTACGTCATCCACAGCCACATTTTGAATGGATCCATTAGCCACAGGGGAACACTTAAGCACCGACCTCTCGTAGATTCGATCTTAGCACACTTCTAGCAACTTGGATTACATGATTGCAAAAGTAGGCATTAGCGATCAGGTGCGGTCGTCCATTGTGTTCCTGTAGTGGAGGGTACTTCGTTTGATTATGCTGCATAATTGATATCACTTAAGCTGAGATGGATTAGGTTCACCTTGACATATGTTATGGCTCACCACTAATGTATGCTTGGTAACATCCACACTGTGGTCCCAAATGACTCATGTAAGAATTGGAAAGTACGTCATCAAACTTTCTAAACAGTTTCTCCAGATTCACTGAATATTTGAAGTCTACATTTTAGACACCCTCCTGTAGATGTGCAGCTTGTGCAACGAGCCAATAGAAACCGAGCTCTCATTTGACTGGCTTACACAAAACTGGCCATGGTTATGTTCCTAGTGCTAGAATTCACAGTTAAGTAGGGCTGGAGTGGGTGACGCAAGTTAGTCAAGAGATGCAGTTTTAGAAGTAAGATTTTGTCAAGTTCGTGTTATGTAGTGCCTATGTTAATTTACATGGAACAGTCCGTATCAAGCGTGGCAATAAAACCACGAACACATACACATCGAAGCAAAACAATGCAGAGGTCCAGCGTGCCCTTTGAGTACGCCACAACTTGTGCATCTTTTTGACTGGAAAACAAAGTGTTAATTCTGGGCAATCTGTTTGAAGCGTTGTGAGTCCACCGCTCTCTAGTCTGTGTGCTGCACAAATTAGGACATTTTGACCTGCAAGAGCTCCTATCAAACATTGGCTTTCTCAGTGTAGAGGACAGTAGATTCTATCGACGACTGATTATTTGTGATCTAAGGCTCCTTCTTGCCATAAACGTTGTTGGTTTAGACTCCGAACTAGGCAGCATGTATCTATGCAATTCATGCCATTCTAAAATTAAGGATGTCAGTCCCACTTGTAGCATGATTTTACGTTACGGGACAATATAAGTGGGCGGAATTGATCGATTCCTCGTCTATAAGACACCTGGGGTATGCAATTGAGCAGAACACTTAACGATGGTGGTTGTGCGAATTTATAACCAGTATTGCATATGGACAGGTCACTGCAGTGATTTGCCTGTGAAAAGGTAGTCGAAGAACAGACCGTTAAGCAAACGCCCCCATCTTCATTGCAGATTTCTTAAAGCTTGTGCTCTTTTTACAGATCTCACTGAATAGCAAAGTCGCTATACAGAAA